AACTTGAGAGGTGGGACTTGGGAGAACTCGCTCCTGTCCTCCATCCATCCGTCCTTCTATAATTCCTATCGTTTCCGACGTATGCGGGTGGTCGGTTCTGTCCCTCTCGGTGTGGGTGTAGGGCTTCTTCTAACATGTCGGCTCGGTCGGCTGCGGCCCTCAGGTCCTTTATGTCCGCCTCCTTTACCCTCATCCTGATCTCAGGAGAGAGCACGGACATAAACTTTTCCATGGCCATTAGTTCCTTAACCTCTTCGACCGACCTTGCTTCTTCAGAGTCCAGCCACTTAAGGAGCTTTCTTTCTATGTGCCTCGCCGTCTCCGCATACGATTTTCCTGGCGACCGGGTACATTCTCTAAACCTCTTCCGGTAACACTCCGGCGTGAGCTTAAAGGAACGGAGCACAGCTCGTTTTACCGCATCGTAGTTAGTGCATTCTTGGAAGTCGAGCATAGTGAAGGCTTGGCGAGCTTCACCTGTGAGCCTCCCTTGGACCAACTCCGCCCACTCCGCCCTCGGCCACCTCTTCATAGCAGCCACTCTCTCAAAGTGATCGAAGAAACTTTCGGCTTCACTAGGCACAAAGACCGGCAGGTCTCGTTCCCTCACTCGTCGGTCCTCCTGTGGCGGGGCAGGGGCAACTAGTCCTAGTTCAGCTCGCTTCACCTCCACCTCCTTGTTGGCTTCTATTTCCCTTTGTCTCAGCCTAACTTCTCGCTCGTGTTCTTCCCGGCGTAGCTGTGCTTCTCACTCTTGCTCTTCCCGGCGTAGCTGTGCTTCTCGCTCTTGTTCTTCTTTACGCTGCTGTGCTTCTTCTCTCCTCAGCTGCGCTTCTGCTTCTCGCTCCTCACGCTTCATCTGCGCTTCTCGCTCTTGTTCTTCTTTGCGCAGCTGTGCTTCTTCTCTCCTCAGCTGCGCTTCTGCTTCTCGCTCTTCCTTGCGCTGTTGTGCTTCTCGCTCTTCTTTGCGCTGTTGTGCTTCTCGCTCTTCTTTGCGCTGTTGTGCTTCTCGCTCTTCACGCTTCATTTGTGCTTCCAGCTGCAACTTCACTATTTCCAGCTTCACGCTGTGCCTGCTGCCGCTGGATTCCCTGCTGCTTCCACCAATACTCAGGTGTTCACCCACGCTGGCAGGTGTTTGGGGCCGTTCCTCCCCCAAAGCTTCCTCTCGAGCCCTGAGCTGAGCCATTATCTCTAGTCTTCTTTCACCAACTCTGGCAGATTTCAGCTTTATTCCAAAATGATCCGCTATAGCCTGTAACTGTGCCTTGGTGCACTCTTCCAACACCTGTTCGTCTCTAGAGTCAATAAACCTGGTTACTTTATCATCCTCCATCTTGTGCTACGAGTGATAACCTGCACCTGATCTCTAACACCACTGCCAAGTACCACCACTGCAACCTTTACTTCGATCGATATCCTGGCAAGGTCGCCAATGTTGGGGTTTCCCTTGCTTACTTCTCTGTCCTTATTCTGGGGTGAGCAATAGTTATGCTCAAGGTCACTCACCGTAGCCCTGCGGGTCTTCACTCGATCCTCACGGCGCCACTGCACGCCAGGAGAGTCTCCCAGTCAATCTTAACGGCCTCTGATCAAGAAAGAGTGAGAACACGACTCGTTCACTCGACTGTCGTGTGCCCTCCCCAACAATAGGGCTCTACGGTTAACCACAAGGTCGCCAACTGGTGTTTTAATTCCCCAACCCGTTCTCGCAAATTTAATAAGTCAATATTGACTTATTAAATATGTGCATAGGTGACATACTTAACATAATAGATACCCTTAAAAAGATTCATAGAAAACACCGACCTTACCTAACCTTGTTAGTATCTTAAGATAAGCATCTTATTGCTTCGTAATTACAATTATTACCTAACCTATAATAGGTATAGGTTAAGTAATAATTGTAATTACGAAGCAATAAGATGCTTATCTTAAGATACTAACAAGGTTAGGTAAGGTCGGTGTTTTCTATGAATCTTTTTAAGGGTATCTATTATGTTTAGTATATCACCTATGCACGTAGTTAATAAGTCAATATTGACTTTACGAATTTGCGAGAACGGGTTGCATTCCCACAGAAAGTAATCACTGCATGAACACAGCATATATAATGTAGATACATCAAATATCAATACATGGAAAATAAATGGTTTCTGGGCACACACCCTAACCTTCAAATACTGGCATAATATTATATATAATTTACCACTATATGTTCATATCAAAATCTATAGAAAGATATACACAACACAGTAAATTTATCACTTGTTCCTGGTGCCTGTACACACCAATAATCAACATGAATATTACAAGTACTCTTGATAGTACTGTCTAGCACACTGGTGCTTTATCGTGACATGGGTGAGACTTGCTCACGACATATAAAATCCTCAGGCAAGATAATATAGCCGAATAACATAGCTAACTAAAGGGGAATGGGGAGGGAACTACAAACACCTACTTCACCCTATCCTCCGATGAGAGTCGAGATGTAGCTCCTGGTCCTCGTGTCGGGAACGCCCCCACACACACGTCGTCGTGTCCTACCAGAGCCTCTCGTCGTCCCACCGTTTAGCGCGTCGTCTCCGTGCCTCCTCACTGCAGGTCCGTCCTCCTTCTTAACTTCTTGAAGGTTGGAGTCGGTCTCCTGGCCGTCGTCTTCTCCCAGCAACGGCTGTCGCCTACGTCTCAGCTACAGTCGTCCGGTTTCCCCAAATAGTCCTCTCTTCCTCAGCTACCCAGTGGCTCTGTCAGCCACTACGCTGTCACGAACTGGTGAGTTACCACAGACGTCACATACATCACTGCACGACTTCACTGCTTCTTGCACAGTACCTGACTGGAGCACTGGTTGCTCAAATAACCGTCAATTCCCTCTTCTGGTTCAACACATGAACTAGGGAAGACTTCTCAGAGTACTGGCGGACTTCAGGTGACGCGTAAATCCACGGGAGCGGGAAACAACTGTCCAACTGACAGGACCAACCGTCGCACGTCCGACCTCTATGACGTGTCGTGTCTGACTGATGGCGCCAGCTTGGCGCGCTGGCCGGACCCCCTTCCTTCGTGACGTCACTTTTGCCACGGGAGGTTTTCATTGGCTCCCGGTGCCAAATTGCTGTCGATGACCAATCCGGTGCCACTGACGTCACACGGTTTTGGCGGGAGATCAGGGAGGCAAGCGCCATCTTGGCTCCCTAAAGGGCCTAAACCACAGGCCAAAATATTACTATTTCACAAATTTCTCGGCTCTCCGAGAACACTTCACTCTCTCCCACATATCAAATTGTAGCCTGCAACGTAGAGAACGCTTGGGAAAAGTAGACATGACTCTTACTGCAGGCGTGGGAGAATTACAAGGGGGGGAACTCCGTCACAATATGTATGTATTAACACGATGTACTGAACGGGGTGAGAATAGCTTGAGCTACCTCATCCCTTTGTGTGTATTTTACCTCAATAAACTTACTTCAATTTCAATTTCAATCATTTAATCAGAAGATGGGACCAAGAGGCGAAGGGGCCCCACAATGGATAAAATGAGCAAAGAGGCGGATAGACAACACGAAAACGATAGACAGGTGAAGAATGGATAGATGATATTTGTAAAGCACTATTATATATTTTTTTTTTTTGAGCCTTATACCATTTGCATACTTACATGAAAATGTAAACTCAGTTTGCTCATAATCTTGATCTAAGTTTTCCGAGACCGGAGATTAACGTCATATAGATTAGTTAAGTTAGGCTTAGTTAGTTAGGCTAGATTTGGTTAGGCAAGATTAGGTTGGTTATGTTAGGTTTGAATAGGTTAGGTTTGTCATTCTAGATTTTAATGAGAATTTATGATCATTCTGTAGCCTAAAAATGGACAGCATAACCCAAGTAAAGTCCCAATAAAGCAAAGTACGATTGCAGGATAACAGTGAATAATTTTTTTGCTTCTGTTGGAATTATTGCCAACGTTTTTGTATTTGCTGTCTTTTTTTTGAGATATATACAAGAGTTGTTACATTCTTGTACAGCCACTAGTACGCGTAGCGTTTCGGGCAGGTCCCTGGAATACGATCCCCGCCGCGAAGAATCGTTTTTACAACCAAGTACCCACTTTACTGTTGAGTTAAACAGAGGCTACAGTTAAGGATTTGCGCCCAGTAAATCCTCCTCGGCCAGGATACGAACCCATAGTTTAACCTCTTTACTAATATTTACTCCTAGAGACCTTCACAATTCGTTTTACGTCAATGAGATGAGAATAACCGGAATTTTAAATCTTATAAATGGACTTTTGATAACATTTAACACACAATATTAATATTTTCTTGCTAATGAAATAAAATAATTTAGAAATGTAATTAAACAAATTATATAAAAGCTATGCTAGTTCTGGATTTATTTAATTATCAACATGACATGAGCAACATGAGCATGAACATGAGCATCATTCATCAAACACTGGAAACCTATGAAGGATCCTCTAGTATAGTGGTCTTCGTCCTCAGCTCTCCACCGAAGATTCCGGGTTTGAAACCCTGGCAGGAGATAAAAAAATCCGGCCACATTTGATTTTACCTGATGGTTCTATTCACCCAATGGTAAAATAGGTACCTGGGAGATATAAGCAACTGTTTATGGATTGCATCTTTGGAAAAGTCAGTAGTTGACCAGAGGAAGGAGGGAGGAGGGGGGAGGGGGAGTGAGCGGAAAGGAAGGGAATTTCCAGCGGGAAAAGCGCCAAGCCATTGCGACTATACAGCACTGGGAAGGCGTCAGGATAAGGATTTGGAATGGGAGGAGGGTAAGGAATGGTGCCCAACCACTTGGATGGTCGAGGATTGAATGCCGACTTGCATGGACCAAGACCGTTGCTTTACCGTCCAGCCCAAGTGGTTGGTATGGGGTGGGGGTGGGGGGATCCTTGACAATACTAAGTACTGTCTTGCAGTTCCAGAACTCAACAATATCTTGGAAATACAACAATATCTTGACTTAGTCACCTTATATCCGGTTCCACCGCAGGCAAACAGCATCTTGTCAGTGACATTTGCCACATTCTTGGCAGCAACAAACTTCACCTGCCAGAGCCACAGTCGATATCCTGTCCTGTAATGTAATGAGCAAAATGTCACATATTGTTCAGGTGTTTGAGGATATGTGATGTACATAGATGCAATATATGTTAACCCATCACGTCATAACTGTTTGCAATTCCTCTGCAGTCTAGTCCAATGAGCACCTGGTTAACCGAGCAGCTGGTTCACCGAGCACCTGGTTCACCGAGCACCTGGTTCACCGAGCACCTGGTTCACCGAGCAGCTGGTTCACCGATCACCTGGTTCACCGAGCACCTGGTTCACCGAGCAGCTGATTCACCGATCACCTGGTTCACCGAGCAGCTGGTTCACCGAGCAGCTGGTTCACCGATCACCTGGTTCACCGAGCACCTGGTTCACCGAGCAGCTGGTTCACCGAGCAGCTGGTTCACCGAGCAGCTGGTTCACTGAGCACCTGGTTCACCGAGCACCTGGTTCACCGAGCACCTGGTTCACCGAGCACCTGGTTCACTGAGCACCTGGTTCACCGAGCAGCTGGTTCACCGAGCAGCTGGTTCACCGAGCACCTGGTTCACCGAGCACCTGGTTCACCGAGCACCTGGTTCACCGAGCAGCTGGTTCACCGAGCAGCTGGTTCACCGAGCAGCTGGTTCACTGAGCACCTGATTCACCGATCACCTGGTTCACCGAGCAGCTGGTTCACCGAGCACCTGATTCACCGAGCACCTGGTTCACCGAGCAGCTGGTTCACCGAGCAGCTGGTTCACCGAGCAGCTGGTTCACCGAGCACCTGGTTCACCGAGCAGCTGGTTCACCGAGCAGCTGGTTCACCGAGCACCTGGTTCACCGAGCACCTGGTTCACCGAGCACCTGGTTCACCGAGCACCTGGTTCACTGAGTATCTGGTTCACCGAGCACCTGGTTCACTGAGTATCTGGTTCACCGAGCACCTGGTTTCACCGAGCACCTGGTTCACTGAGTATCTGGTTCACCGAGCACCTGGTTCACTGAGTATCACCGAGCAGCTGGTTCACCGAGCACCTGGTTCACTGAGTATCTGGTTCACCGAGCACCTGGTTCACCGAGCACCTGGTTCACCGAGCACCTGGTTCACCGAGCACCTGGTTCACCGAGCACCTGGTTCACTGAGTATCTGGTTCACCGAGCACCTAGTTCACCGAGCACCTGGTTCACCGAGCACCTGGTTCACCGAGCACCTGGTTCACCGAGCATCTGGTTCACCGAGCACCTGGTTCACTGAGTATCTGGTTCACCGAGCACCTGGTTCACCGAGCACCTGGTTCACTGAGTATCTGGTTCACCGAGCACCTGGTTCACTGAGCACCTCTTTGACCGAGCACCTAGTCTACTTAGCACTTAGTTCATTGAGTACCTAGTCTACTGAGCACATAGTTCCCCGAGCAATTACTCCTCTGAGCACCTTAATTCACTAAGCATTTATTCCATTGAGTAACCAGCTCACTGAACACCTGGTTTACTGAGCACCCACCCCACCGAGTATCTAGTCCACAGAACACCTAGTTCATTAGCCTGATCCTGAATCAGGTTCAGGATCATTAATGTGATTTATTTTAGTATTTATTTATTTATTTATTTATTTATTTATTTATATACAAGAAGGTGCATTGGGTTGTAAGAGAAGATTACATTCGTGTTCTTACATTCTTGCAAAGTCACTAACACGCATAGCGTTTTGGGCAAGGGCCTTAAGCTAACAGATTAATGACAAGAGTATTTAGAAGGTACATTGTAGCAGAATTTGATTTCAACATAATAACGACAATTAAAATGTATTGAATTTTATTATACTGGTGATGTTGCCTGTCTTAAGTATTAAAATTGCATGAGTGGATAACACATGATACAGTGTGAGTTTGAAGCACAAGGTAGGAGACTATGAAGAAGTAATAAGATTAGATGCTTTTTGGTTTTACTTCTGAATAAAGAATAGACTGGACAATTTTTTAATTTATTAGGGAGTGAGTTCCATATACTAGGTCCTTTTATTTGCATGGAGTGTTCACACAGATTTAGTCTGACTCTAGGGTTATCAAATAAATATTTATGTCTGGTATGGTGCCTGGATTGTACCTGGATAGAGTTCTGGAAGTTCTTCTACTCCCCAATCCTGACCTGGGTCCACACTTGACTTGTAAGAGCTTGATCCAATAGGCTGTTGCTTGCCGCGGCCCGCAGGCCCACATATATACCACAGTCTGGTTGGTCTAGCACTTCCTGAAGAAAACTATCCAGTTTTCTCTTGGAGACGTCCATGTTTGTTCTAGCAATATTTCTTATGCTCGATGGGAGTATGTTAACAGTCTTGGACCTCTGATGTTTATACAATGTTCTCAGATTGTGCCTATGGCACCCCTGCTCTTCACTCGTTCTATTTTGCATTTTATTCCATATCGTTCACTCCAGTATGTTGTTATTTTACTGTCTAGATTTGGAAACTGGACTTCCAGTATTTTCTACGTGTATATTATTAGATACCTCTCTCGTGTTCTTTCTAGAGAGTACACTGGGAGAGCTTTGAGATGATCCCATGTTGCTCATGGGTTCTGTGGGAAATTTTATCCACTATATAAACATTATTATCTAAGAAATGTATTATTTCTAAATCATATCAAAATCACTTCAGATTCATTATATCCTACCTCTGGATCCTACATGACAGTGCCACTGTGATCATGTACACCATAGGGCCCATGGTGCCTATGTGACTTTGTGCATGATTTCTCAAGGATTTAGAAGCTTTGAGAAGAATATCTTAATTAAATATCTAAATTAAATTAGATATTAAGTGTGTATATATGTATACACACTTAATATCTTATGTGTGTATACATATATACACACACATTTGTCTCTTTTACTCTGACAGGGTGAGATAGCTGATAGAGAAACTAGTGTGCAATTAAGCACTTAATCACTGAAGGTGATTAAGGTGCTTTTACAAGCTCAGGTTATATAGTTACATCACATACATACATTGTATAATTGACACATTACATGGTCAATCTTGGGTACAAGTCCAATTATTCCAGGAAGGCGAAAGTCAGTCAGTATAAAGCATTCTACAATATAATGTTCAAGAGAGTGCATGTTTTCTTTTTCACAAAGTTGACACATTGTGTACTCGACATTTAGGTTTTGAGAAAGCTGCCAGATACGTCTATATCCCAGGCGTATTCTGGCCACTATAACATCACATTGCCGGGTTCTTGTTCTATTAGTCCCATATGTGAATGTCTCCTCGCGATATCTATCATAATATTTAATGCTACAACTTTCAGGTCTTTGTGAATTTGATAGGTCGGTGAGATCTTCATTAGATATTTGTTTAAGTAAAGTATTTGTTTAAGTACTTTGTCACCACGAAGTGATGCCGCCTCAACCACATCTAATCTTATCCTACTGCAAATGCAACTAAGGATACAATTAACTAGCAAAGCTACCAGAATATTAAACAGCAAAGTTGTGACATAAAATATAGTGCCTGAGCTATACAAGAGAGGTTATCAAATCTGGCAACTTGTCAGACGGCACCGGCTTTCAAGACTGGATTTTACATAAGTATATTGAGTGTTATTGTAGTGTGTTGATTGGCTAATTGCATGCTTGTATAACCTTAATCAATCCATTAAGTCTTTTTGCCTTTACAGCGCGGGGCGACACCCCAGATTACAGTAAGTTTTGATTAATCTTTAAGCCATTGAATCTTCAAGTTATCTGGACACTCAATTATTATTCAACTTCAGTCATTGAAAGTCAAGCTCGACTGAATCTTTTCAATTAAATTGAATATATCTGTATATATAATTGATAATATACATTAAGCTAACAATTACTTAATTATCTTTAATTTATCATATAAGTTTATCTTATAGAATATATATTCTTGTGCCTAAATACCAGCACTTGGACCAAATTTAAGGTAATTTAATTTCATATTTACATATATCATATCTGTATGATACAAATTATTGTGTTTGCACTTACTAATAGTAAGTGCATATTGGCTGTTGTAATAATAGTGCTAGGCTGGACTATGTACATGTTTAGATCCTTGATTTAAACAGAACCAGTGTTCAATTACAAAACTGAGTTATTTAATCTCATCCTTGTATTAACAATACAAGCTGATGTGTTGAATTGTCTGCAGGTGAATTGTAGATCTTCAATCAACATCTCCATTCACCCTTAGGGACCCCCACCTGCCCCTTACAGCTAACAGTCTGTCATTAGGTCAAGAGGAGCTAGGCTTTACAACCCTAGCTAGGGACTTTAGTTGTATTAATTTTGCATATAGTAATTTATAATTTAGTACAGTACAAGTTCTAAGTAGTTCTTATTAATCAATCCTGAGAATTTTCCCCACATTTATGGTCCTTTGAACCAAGATAGTCTAGAAACTAGATCATCCATATATCAGTACACTTAGACCATAATTATTTTCCTTTGTTTACCGAATATTTCAATAGCAAATACATAAGAAACCTCTTTATTTGCATTGGAATAATTAATACATAATCTAGCCTAACCTAGCTTAGCAGCCAATATCTATAATATTCATATATCTAAGTGAACAAATCTTTTACAGTGGCTAAGATCTCCATATCTCTTTCCTAGTAAGCATTCATAACATACTAGTAAGTGCTCTGTGTTAAAAGACCACAGTACTTAATTTTATCAGTTGTTACAGACACAACTGCATCTTATTTCATATATACCATTACACCTCACTTGTGGTAACATTATATACACATATGTAAGTGTATTATACAGCATTATCTTTAATCAACTGATTTTCAGAACTGCTCATTATAAAATACTCTTTACAAAATTGTTTCTTAATAATAAGAGCATTTCATTACAACATATCAATAATCATCTGTAGCAAACCCTATTTCTAGTAATATCAGTAGGCAATTCTACAGAATCTTATCAAACCCCTACTAGGGTAATATATCTTGTAATAATTTTGCAAAAATAGTGTCGTTTACTATTTTTAAACAATTATTA